CCGTCAGTCCTCCTCCATCTTATCAACCTATAAAACACACTCCCTCCATACTGACTTCCCTCCTTCCCTCAATCGGAAAAAAAAAAAAAAAAAAAAAAAAAAACATCTTCCAGTCCTTCAAGTGGTCTGCCAATCATAATCGGAAGGGCTGCAGACCCAGACAAACAGGCCAAGCTCAAGACCTCCGCCCCTTATCAAGCCTCGCCTGATAATGCAAAGTTTCACTGTCCCGTGATGAGCAGGACTCATGCCCAACTCACCTGGATTGATAACCGAGTCTGTCCTCCCATTCACCAACCATCCCCAGCTTACTCCCACCTCCTGCTGACACTCATACCCTCTTCCTTATTCGGATTCCTACCCATCAAGCCTTATCTTCAAGACACCGGTTCCACTCATGGCACTTGGTACCAGCCAAACCGCGTCTTCGTTGCTGACCCAAAAGGACGCAAGATTCGCCATGTGTCTCATGCGGCATGGGAAAAGATCCCAAAATCACTTCCCGTGACTCTCTCTCTCCTTCTATCTTCAATTCAAGAATCCTCAAGATGATAAGATACCCCATGTTCATCCACTCCGCTTGCTTGCTTTGTTTCTCCCCGCCCAATTTATTACCCCTCTCCAGTTACAGGAAGGTATGAACATCCGATTCGGTAGGGCGATCACCAATCCTTCAAACGGTACTCGTCACACTCCATTGGAAGTCAAGGTTCGATTCCACAGACCAGTCCAGCCTTTCAAATCCGGTACCTACGGCTTGAAGGACTCGCACCTCAACTCATCGGATGACAGCAGTGACGAGGATCGATCGATCAAGACTCGGGATGATACCGTCGACTGCGCTGGTTTGTCGGCCATCTCCAAGGATCGACCACCTGAAGGGCTCTCTGACCAACGCCATAGTTCCGCTCAATCTGATTCCAAGTCTGAATTGACTGATGTTGGCCGAAATATCAATCCTCCCGATTCTACTGTAACTGTTGGGCATGTGGCACGTTTCTTTGCCCCTCAGGAGGGCAGGAAAGTCCCAGAAGCCGTCGATCAATCCTTATTTAGTAATTCACCCTCCAACTCCACCAGATCATCAGACGAGAATCCTTCTCCAGTGTTCGATACGTCCATCTCACCCACTCGTCCTAACGTCAACTCAACCGGTCCCGGACCCAAACAATCAGACACATGCCTCCAACAGCTTTCTTCTGTTGCCTCTCACCCCGCTAAGAAAAAGGAGTCAGGTTTTTTCTTGGACGTCGAGTCGATAGATGAAGAGAAGGGTCAGCGCAGTAGCAAGGTCGAAGAAGGTAATCGTGATGTCGATTTGCAGAGCACTTACGGTGCCAAAGGAGTGCATAGTGACCTTGAACAAGACCACGGCCATGTCGGACAAGAGCATAGTAGTGCCGAAGAGGGACACAGCAACGCCGAAGAAGAACACAGTGAGGTCGAGGAGGAAGATAGTGGCATTGCCAATGATTCTAAAGATCCGGAAGGAGAACCCGCTTCTCAACTGAACGCTCAGCAAAAACGACAAGTCGAACCCAAAGGGCCCCACACTCATAACCAAAACGAAGCAGTCCAGACTGACGCACATGAAGACAGTGAAGCGAGTGTGGAAAGTATCCAAGTGAGCGGGAACGAAGATTCATCAGAAGACTTGTCTTCCTCGGCCTCTTGTCAAGAAATTTCCCCGCCGAAGGTCTCCTCGGTCGTAGACTCTGTCCAAAAGAAACATGTCTCGAAATCTTTCAAGGATGTTTCGGTCGTGACGACTATCACCAGTCAGACCCAATTCACTGAGTCATTGAACCGATTACCTGAGAGCCTCGCCAAGACCATCCAGGTAAGCTTCAAGCTCAAGCCTCTCCATACAAGCTCCTTGGGCCGAACCCTCACCGAGAGTAATGTTTCTAATCGCCTGCCGATTGTCCATACCTATCTTTGCCAGTCTCCGAAAATGAAGCGCGTACATAAATCTGGTGGCGAGCAAGAAACGCCAAGGAATCGCGCGGCTTTGGGTGGGAACTCGACTTCAAGGGACCCACAAGCACCTCCTGTAGCAGCAGCTGATGGTAAGCCACAGCAAATTACCCCTCATCGGAGCTTGAAAACCGGGCTAACTCGCCTTCCCTTTGCCCTCTACGCATCCAGAACTAGCTCCGGCACCGCCTGTCCAAACTAAGAGAAAGAGACCGGCTGAGTTTGACGAAGAGGAGTCTGGGAACGTGACGACCAAGACGCTGGTCAGCTCTCGAAAAGTGAACAAAAGAGCTCCAGTGAGTGTCTGCCAACACTGTGCCCACGGGGCTCATCCGACCAAGAAGCCCAAGTTGTCTAGCAAGCTTGTCTCCGCCGCTCAATCCATCGCGATCTTTGCGCTCGGTGGCGTCGCTACTGTCGCTGGTATCCTGGCTTTCGAAAACGTGATCGAGTAGTCCCATCCCCCTCTCCTCTCAATTTCGTCAGTTTTAGTGTATCCTATCCCGTCTCAAAAACAACAAAAGAGAAAAAAAAACCATTTGGCAGTGATTTCTTTATGACTTGATTTCCTACCCAAACCTTATTCCTCACTCTCTCCTTCTTCAGAGTCATTTTACTAGCTAACCAGTTTGTATGTACATACAAACATTGTGTTCTCACCATTCTAAGCTTGTTTAGAAGGATGGGACAGTGTACAGAACATCTTATGTATTTTTATCTTCTACTCTTTTCTTTTCTTTGTGTTTTTTTTTGTTGTTGTTGGTATGTAAATATGCAGATACATCTATGAATACATATACATACACGCCTAGATATATGTGTAAAATGAAGGCTCCCAATCAACTGATCATGTTATTTTTACTGGTTTCTTTCCCATTGTTCAAGGTACTTGGTAATCAAAAAGAATCTCCTCTTCTATTATTTTGGCCACTTCTGTAAGTTACCAGTTGTTTGTACCCTCTTGTTTTGAAACAATGAAAACCTTAACACACTTACGTGGAAGCTTGGGTCATGGTCAACTAGTGTCACTAAATGCAAATGTAACCAAATCCCACCTGCTATAGCGTTTTAGCACTTGCAAACTTGCAGAACAAGTCACCATCAGAGGGTACTGGCATCCTATTGCCCCAAACTGGTGTTACCAGTTGGGGTAGGTAGTTTCCTAAAACCAATGCAGTAGGTTGCCTTGAACAAAACCTTCCAGCTTGAGCATTTGCTTGGCAGATATGAAGCCTTAATGCTTCTGCCCCTTCATCCACTGGAATCTGAGTTCAACTTCCATTACATCACTCCTTTCACTTGAAATAGATCATCAAAGTAAAACAAAAACCCTGAAATTTGCCAAACACAATTAACAGACAATCTCTGTGCTTGCTAACTCAACTACATACTTTTTTTTGGTGACTTGAAATCATTTTCCATGCCCTCATCATGATGATCCCCCCCCCAAAAAAAAAAAATGATTAACTTTGTGGATCCTAGGTCAACAATTTATTAATTCATGAGGAAACCTGCTCCCAACATGATTCCTCTGGAGCTCCAAGATAAAACACCAGAAAATTACCCACATGTGGGAAATGATCAAGTCCCTCAAATTCAATCACATTCCACAGAAATCCATTGTTGCTTTCCTTATGATCAACACTAAGATGAAATGTTCTGGTTAATTGCTGGTTGGACTTCATTCAATTCACGGTTGGTCATCACTGGCAATAGGTGGTTTTTGGTGTTGGGAATCAATCAGTCTTGGGACTCAGATACTTTGAGACTAGCAAGCATGTTCCCATATGAAAAAGACTAAGTATCATCTTGTGAGTTTTTGCTCTATGGAAATGGATAGTATGCAGATTCTTCTATAGTGTTGCAATTTTCATACAAGGGAAACTGAGTCTGAGTTGTGGGAACTTTGCTGTGTCCTGATCCTGTGTGGAATTTGCCTGGAGTCAATGTGAAACCCGTTTTTTTTTGTTTCTTGAGGAAAAATATCCTGAAGATAAAAACTCCGGCAAGGATGGCTTGAATTGACAAGCACTGCAAGACTGCAAGTGACACCACCAATGACTACATTGTGACAGGTTCGGGATCGGTTGCGTCACCCCTCAGCAAAAGAGTCGGTGACATGCGCGCTACATCCCACCCGCTGACATACTACAAAGACTCGATTGGCTCGAATTCGAGAGTAGGACTGGCTGCATCATCGGCAAACATCAATCGATCTTCAAAAATAAGATATTCATCAATACCAACCAAGTCTCGAGTGGCAAGCAGTTAGGATGACCGTAGTGGATATCGAGCCAAACTCGAATGGCTTTGACTTCTCAAATCATTTGAGGAATTCTCATCTTACCTCCGCCTCTGGTCCGTCCAAGCTCTCGCTTCCCAAGGCCACCAGCACCGGAACGACGATCGTAGGCTTGGTTTGGGAGGGTGGGATTTGTCTTGGTGCTGATACGAGAGCCACTGAAGGTCCTATCGTCGCCGACAAGAAGTCTGTATCTCCACTCATTTTCCTGCCGTCCTTGCAATCTCCCTGGCAGTCGATTCGAGGAGCTATCTAATGTTTGAATGAATTTCTTACGACGTTTGCCTCTCCAGTTGTGAAAAGATCCATTTCATTTCCGACAACATCAGATGCTGTGGTGCTGGTACTGCAGCAGACACCGAATTCGTCACAGCAATGATCTCTAGCAAGTTGAGTGGAAATAGATAACTCGTTAAAATATCGTCAACATTGTCAAACAGCTCAACCGCCCTTCTGTCATTTCCGAAATCACTTAGCATTCAGTTGCATGCGCTCTCAACCGGGCGCCAACCTAGAGTCGTAACGGCAATGACAATGCTCAAGCAGCATCTCTACAAGTGAGTTTGAACCTCCTTACACAGTGCTATCTAAAGCTATGGGCTGACTCAGGTTTTTGGGCTCCTGGGTAATGTGACAAAGATATCAAGGTCACGTCGGTGCTGCTTTGGTGATCGGAGGGGTTGATCCGACTGGACCCCATCTTTTCACTGTTGCCCCACACGGTTCAACAGACAAGCTGCCATACGTGACCATGGGATCAGGTTCGCTCGCAGCAATGGCGGTGTTCGAAACAAAATGGAAGCCGAAAATGGCTCGTCAAGAGGCTATCGATCTTGTTGTTCAAGCCATCTATGCTGGAATTTTCAACGATCTTGGTTCGGGAAGTAATTGTGACGTGTGCGTCATCGAGGCCAGCGGTACTGAAATGCTGAGAAACTATGCCATGCCAAACGAGAGAGTCGCGAAGGAACTCAACTACACTATGCGTCGAGGTACCACCGCCTGGATTGTAAGCCATCCAACTGTTCTCATCAACTCTTACATTCGTTTTTACTAAAGCGCGCACAATCTCTTCCTTTTGTATTTTACAGAAACAAGACATCAAAAAGTTAATCGTTTCCGAATCGGTTACTCGTATCGGTGGCGGGGTGGTTGAAGGCGGACCAGGCACGGGTGCTGGCGCCGCAGAGGGCATGGAATTGGATAAATAATCTATCAGTTTCAAACAAAGCTCTCGTTGTATCAAACCCTGAACGATTCTATTCACTATGAACAAACAACTCTTCTCGATCATTTGGTGTCAAGTAATGCTTACTATGGGGCTTTTTTTCCATGAGGCAGACTGTCTGTGATTGTGAATTCAACCTACGCGACAAAGTATGCCTTAGCCTTCAAAGGCTTGGAAGACATGCCAGACTTTCCATCAACGGAGAATGATCGTCAGGGTGGATTGATCTTAGCTTTAGTTGTATTGCACAGGATAAATGACAAATATATACGATTAAGATTACATAGGCATTCGCTTCATTCTGGTATGTAGGCAAGAGCTTAAGTAGACAAAGTAGATAATGTCACAATTCCGCCACGTTTACGCAGGTGGGGAAAAAACCTCGGGGCTTCGGAGTAGAACCATGAACACCCCTGCTCGTTCCCGGGATATTGCCCAGGCAACCAATAATCCGAACTCCCGACACTCTGTTGTAACCCGCCTGCCCAGGAGCCCAGTTTCATCTGGCGGGCGGCGAAACCCTCGGTGTGGGACTAAGTCGGCTAAGCGCCTCTGAGTTCGGGGGGGGGGACGCCGTCCTGCCCGGACGCTCCGACCTCCGACATTCCCCAGCTTCACTGGCATACCTTTCTTTAAGCGCACGTGGCGCATAAAGAAAATCCTCACAGTGGGTGGGCAATCACTTAATTATGCTCATTGTGATCACTTTTTTCCTATTGTTCCTATGACTTCAGAGAGCAACGAAGGATCTACATGACATCGAGGGGAGTTGATCAAGGATACTGAGAGGAAAAGTGTAGCCGAGCATCTTCAGAAGAAAGACAGATGTACAGTATCCTCCCAGATGTTTATGTCTGGGGGTAAACCTGTCACAGGTCCACTTGAGCCCGCGCAGCACTACATCCGGAAGGGCGGTCGACTGAAGAGCCAACTGAGCCAAACATCAGCATCGGCCGACACCTACCCCTCACCGGCTTGTGTCACTCACCGATCAACATCCATCCCGACTTGTCAACATCCATCCCGACTGCCGTCAACCCCGTCCAAGCTTGACGAACAACTCCTCCACCGTTTTTTTGGGAGGCATTGAATCTACTGGTAGCCTCGCCGAAACCTTGCCCAGACAGGCCTACCTTGTATCGTATGTCGCCATCTCACTCTTCTCCCTCCTTGTTCGCTCCCACTGACCTGTCTTGTATGACCTGAACAGTTTGTTTCAAGATACCAACTTGGCCGCAATTCACGCCAAGCGTGTGACGATCCAGCCCAAGGATATCCAACTTGCTCGTCGCCTCCAAGGTGAACGATCATAAATTATCGCGTTGTCGTTTGTTTGGGCCAACCAACCGGAGCTTGACAACCGACTCCTCCGCCTTTTTTTCAGGAGGCATTGAATCTTTCTGGTAGCTGCACGCCGCGTTGTCAACCTCGTCCGAGCTTGAGGACCGACTCCTCCGCCGGGGGGCTTTGAATCAAGCAGTAGCCGCACCGAAACCTCGCCCAGACGCAAGCCGCGCCGTCAACCTCGTCCGAGCTTGACGACCGACTCCTTCGCCGTTTCCGCGCCGACACCTCCCCAGCTGGTCTGGTGGGCCAAGTGAATATTGATTTTTAATATTTAATTTTTCATTTTTTTTAATTTTTTTTTGATAATCATTATCTCCTGCATCTCAGCTAAACTCCCCTTGTTTTGTTTTATTTTTAAAAAAATTATTAAAGAAAAAAAAAAAATTGAATTTTGCTTTTATTTTTTAAAAATGTCAAGCAATGACTTTTCCTATTCTGTTGTTTCATACTCTTGTTTATCATCTCCCTATCTACCACTCCCCAAAAAATGGGAAATAAAGAATGAGTATATTTTTTTTAAATTAAGTAATCCAACTGCCATAAACATCTGGGAGGAGACTGTACTTGGGGGGGGGCGATAAAAAAGAAAAGATTGGATGACTATGTAATGGACTAAATCGTTCCAGACTGCCGGTGCGGGTGAGTCGGTTGATAAATGGAGGGGCGAGGGGCCAGGGGATAAAATCCATGTCGAATCGTCATCCGATAAACTTGAGTAGAAGAGCTATCATTTCGGTCGGGTGGTAGGGAACTATAAATCAGACGAAGAGGACAATGGGTGTGGCAAAGGAAATATGAGCTGATCTGCCCGGTTCGTGAAGCATTGAGTAAAATGAACTCACCTCGTCGACTGAAAAAGATGACTCCTCCACCGAGTGTCGTCAATTGGGCGGTTTTACTGGCAAGGAACAAGAGCAAAACACGGGGCAGTACTTTTCGTTGGAAGGCCGTTCCCAAGGGTCTTTCCCACTGGTTGGGTTACAATTTGCACACCATGTCTGATTTTCGTCAGTACAGTGTACCGTATATGGAGGGTCATCGGCGAGGATCAAAAGCGGCAGGGCAGCTAATACTAAAGTTAATATCAAACGCATCGTGCTATGGTGGGTCTGAAGATTGTGTACTAGTGTTTGGTTGTTTATTGTAGCGGGTAGCTCAACTGATGAGGATTGCTGGGGAGCTGGCAGAAGGCTCTCCTGGCCAAGGTTGGCTGGGTTTTATAGCCAACAGGCGTCAAAGGTTGGGTCGTGAGGGAGCCGCCACATGGCTCAAGCGGCCATGCTGATGGATCATGTGGCGAAAGGAACAGGCAGTGCTTCAAACTTTCCAGACCTTTCCATGTTCAGTAATATATAGATACATCAAACCTACCGAACAAGCCAAGAGCTGTAAAGAGCACAACGGGTGGCAATGGTTTTTCCAGCTGTTGCCAGTTGGCTGTGACGCCAGGCTGGAAAGAGCCCAACAGGTGCCAATGGGTTTTCCAGCTGTTCATATGTAGGGGACACGCACTCACCGTTTTGAACAACGAAAAGTTGATTTCTCAAAATACAGAAATGATTCTACATATATTCTTAACGGAGGAGGCACGAGCGAGTCACGGGGTTTGTACACCACCGGCGCAGGTCAACGTTTCGTTGACCTCAAGCACAAGCGTGCCTCGACCGTTGTCCCCTTCCGCGGGGGGCAACGTTCCGACACGGTCAGAAATTTATACATTAAAAGATGTGGTGGGCGTGGTTGGGGTTGGGACAATGCTGAGCCCCTCTTATGCCGACTCATGCAGATTTCGGAATGAAAATGAAAGACAAACGCGTTTGGAGAGATGATGTTTGGAATAAAGGCGCCGTGTCTTTAAATTATAATGTTACGAAAAATATATTAGGGATACAAAGTGAAGACAGGCGAAGAGCAGGTAAGGAAAGAAGAAAGGAGAGGGTGTGCGTATCCTAGTCCGTGAATGACCAAAGGAATCGGGTTAGAAAAGTAAGCTTCCAGGCGAAAACTTAATTTCAGTTAGTATTCCGGTGATGCCTTTCGGCGTAGTTTTTTAGTGGGTGAACGACCAACGAAGCCACCAGGATAGACTTCACTGGCAGGTTTGGCTGAGTCAATCTTCACTTTTTTGGATCCTGACAGGCTCCTTTCTTTAATTCTTTTCTGTCTTGAGGAAGAAGCCGTGGTCGATGATCTACTTTTATGGGTTCCGCGAGACTGATGTCGGCTGGAACTGAATAAGAGAAAAAAACAAGTCAGTAACCAAGGATCACACCAGTTGAGGGATGTCTAGCCTTCGTTCTTGAGCGCACCTTGCAGCTACATGGGGTGATGGAATAGGCGGTAATTTTCGGCTCTTCGGGGCCAGCGCTCTCGGTGGAGAAACGTTACGCACTGAAAGTTGAGGAGGGCGAGAGTCGGCACCGGTCAAAGTTGGCTCGCGACAACGTTTTTGTTTTGAGATCTTGATGGTTGAGTTTGCATCCCATGTAAAAGCTGGGACTGAAGGCAAGTCGATATCTGCTAATGATAGTTCTTGTCTGATGGGGAGATGGTGCGACTGAGGCTCTGATCCGATGAGTTTCTCCTCATAGTCTTCAATATCATCGTCATTAACCAATCTTCCGACCTCATTCCATCGCCCTCGAGCCGAGTCTTGTCTGACTCTGCTGTTTGATGAGTTCAGGCTGCTGAACTTGGTGCGGCCGCTGATACTGTCTTTTAAGCGAGTGAGCAGGTAGGAGACTCCGGTAGGAGCCAAATCGCCGGAACCACCTTCATTGGAATTATACAAGTCGTAATCAAATGCGTCGGAAGCACGATGAGCGTAATCATAGAACAGTTCTTCTTTTTCTTCCTTCTCCTCATACATCGATTCTCCTGGTGCCATCGAGGCTGCTTCGTGAGTCGCAAGCTCTGGAACATCGACAGACCGGCCAACGGCGTATCTAAATCCACGCGAAGTGTGAGAGCCATACTTTGCGCGGTACTTCCCGACACCAATGCCTGGAGTAGCCAAACGAGTCAGGTTATCTTTTGCTGGTTTGGCCCCCCATAACCAGCCTCGTTCCTCATCCATCTGCTCGACTGGACCCGCAAAGGAGCCGCCTCTGCCGAAGTGAAAGAAACTTTGTATCCGACTCTTTCTTTGATTGCCGCGTTCGAGCATCTCGGGCTTCCCATCAGCTATCAAGCCGGCGGTCGATTCCCTCTGAGATCCTTCAGCGATCGATGGAATCGGTCTTCCTTGTGATACCTTCCATTGGTTTTCTGGGTAACGTGACCAACGTTTCTCCTTCCATGTTCTGAAACTTTTGCTGGTCAGGTATCCAGAGAGAAAGACTATCCCAAAGACAGCCACTACAATCGTCAAGCTGACCATTACTGCAACAGTCGAGCTATGTTGGTTTGAGGGTTTGCCGACTTGCATTGGCCTGATGGAAGTGCCTGATGGGGTTGTGATGGATGAAAGAGAGGTTGCAGTGGCAGCAGATTTGAACGAGCTGACGGTCAAGCTAGCAGGGCTGCTCATCGGGGCGACCGGAGGGTTAACAGTTGCTGGCTCTGGAATAGGTTCGGCAATCGGAGCCACTGCGACTGGTGCAGTGGATGGAGCCTAGACGATCGAAGAAAAATAAATTTTAGATAACTGAAGATCAGAATGCCTCACGGTGCTCCTGACTCACAACAACAGGTGCGGGATTCGCGGGGTGGTAAAGCCCATCATCAAAGGTGATGGTGGTGACAGATGCGGCCATTTGTAAGGAGAGTAGGAATGAATGGACGAGCGTTTCAGGTATATGAAACTTTGCTTTCGGGACAGATAGTTATAAGTGATGGTGATAGAGAGCGTTTGGTTGGATGGATGGGACCTAGATACGGGAAGGAGAGGCTAGGGTTTTATAGGGACAGAGTAGGTTCAAACTGGCTATCGGGATGCTGGCACATACCCAGCTGCAGCATGGGCACTTTGTTGCAGCCATCAAGACCGACTAGCCACCTTTCAAGCCTTCTTTCTCAAAGCTCAGAGGATCAGGTACTGTTGAAATCCTCATGAAGGCTCACTGACACTAGAAGAAAGCCCCAGGCCAACTTCGCTGCTATCCACCGCCGTGCAATTTCGAAACAGACGGGTTGAAGACTAGCAGATGGCGGGCCAAGGTCAAAAACGGCCACTGGTAATGTCATCCTCGCCGTGAAATCGAATGTCTGCTATGGGAGAGCAGAAACTAAACCAGGCAGTCCCTATCTAGCAGGACAGTTGTGGGTCCCCCCTCCTTCCCTCCGAAACAGAGTGAGCTTTCGGGCCTTTGAATCGTACCTAGCAAGATTCAACCGCAGTGAACCCATAGAGCTTATGGCAATAGATTTGACGCGTTGAATCCTTTTGGCCTGGCGACCCTTGTTGATCACTCCACAATAAAGGCGTCCCCGGCCTCATCGACTTTCGAGACATTCGGCATGCGGCGTCCAGCGACCAACGTAGGAGGCAAAGAGGGCATTGGGCAGAGGTTCTTTGCGCCTCCGGCCAACTTAAGTTTGTCATTGTCCCGAAGTCGAGTCCCTCTCGCTGTCACGAGGACAATCTTGCCTCTCTCTGAGGGCAACTTTGACTGTAAACTTTTTGAGACGGAACACTATAAATTTCTTGTCACTTGATAGTTGATGAGTTTTTTGCTATAAAGAAGAACAATAACAAGACAAGTCTCTGGGAGACAAAACTATGAAAGGATACAAGTAGAATTATTTTTTTGCGTTAGATAAATATACATGTATACAAAGACAGCCAGAAAAAAAAACAATGAGCAAAAATAGAAAATGAGTGGTCAAATCAGAAGAGAAACGAGAGCAAGCTAATTTTACAAAAAAAATTGATAAACTCCTTGTTTTGACTAATCGCTGATTTCAATCAATCCGTCCTATGGTGATTGTTTGACGATCATCCAAACGCCTGTGAGCAGAGAAGGGTCGCTAAACAAAAAAAGATAGACAAATGCGACTCAGCCACCAGCATAATTAATCTTTTGCTTAGAAAAGACACACATTGTATGGCCATTTAATTCACCAGGATAACGAGCCCGGCCTCAAGATCGCCATCACGCCAAGGCTCGGCACCATTCCAACGCGTCTATTGCGGCCGTCAGCTGTATGAGATTTTCCATCAGCTCCAGCCATTATAGTCTTGGCTATCTGTCGCTCGAACCCCATGGTGGGGTATATGACGAGACCAGCTGGTTGATAAGCAGCTGATTTCAGGGTGTGCACTTGCACGGTGAGTGGGTGGGATGGTACATATGCCAGCCAAGTGGCGAGGCAATCAGGTCGGAGGGACCTTCAACAATCTCACCCTTGCCGAGGGTTGGGTCATTGACGGACAACGGGAAGACACGATACGAGGCTGTTCGTTGTTCGTCGGTGGTACCTTTGGATAGGACGGGCAGATCTGACTGGGACTTGGAGTGGGGATGGTCACTGCCAAGAGATTCGAATGATCTAGGCAGACTCTTGAACTCCTCAATGTGCGCGGTTTGATTGGCGAGGTTATTAGAGTATGAAGGGGCCAAATCGCTGCAACAACAGAGCAAGGATGAGCGCGCTACGACAGACATCGGGTCTTGAGAGAAGGGTATGGTCAAGGAAGAGATGTGCGAACCTAGTAGGTGTGAAGTTCTTAAATCCAATCAACAACCATGGGCACCAACCTAGCATCAACTTATGATTCGTACCAGTTGGACTTACTGCGATACCATTTGCTAGGTTGAGAGTGGTCGGATTGTGCTCATCAATGCTCCACCAAGCCAGCTTTGGTGGAGGAGATACCATCTAAAGAGTGAGTCAGGGCCGAGTGCATCCGGGCACGTTAAATAACTCAAAGGTTGGAGGGCCTTCTTCGCCCAAGTGACTGGTAGCTCGGAACGAGGAAGAGGGAGTTTTGGTGATGATATCGATGGATTGGATCAAATCTTCCAAAGATCGAGAGCGCAAGTGGTTCTCTGTCTCTGTGGGTCGGCAGCTAATGTGAGGAAGCTAACCAGAGAGTGATTCTGAAGTGAATCGGTTCTTTGACTGCTTTCGGGAGCTCTGCATGACACTCGGCGATCAATCAAATTTTTTCCTCATTCTCAAGTCGGTCCAAAGCCTCTTCTCGTCTTTCCAGCCGAGTCCTGACTTGACTGGGTAATGGCTCGTTGGTTGAGTAGCTGATTGGCTCGAGGAGAGAGATTCCAAGACACGATCGGATTGGTTCTTACAACGAGAATGATCCTGATTCCCTCAAGCGTTGATCGGATGACTTGATTCCTTGAAGGAGGGACGATCGGACGAAACGAGTCGCTGTGGCTGTGGCTGGGGGGGGGGGGGGCTAAGTTGAAATTGCATACTGGGCCTATATTCAATATGCGAGCATTCAGTCCACTCAAGAAGGCAATGCAGGGCCCGGAACCAGAAAAACACAAAGGGGAAACCATCTACATAACGAGGAGACCAACATGTCATCACCAACCCAGACGGCCACGAATCAATCGAAGGGAAAGATGAAATCAGAGCAAGAGGGAGCCGACAACGACAAGAACCAACCCCCACCGGTGTGCATTATCTGTATCGGGATGGCTGGGAGTGGGAAGACGACGTTCGTACAAGTTGAGTGTTTTGATATTTAAATATCCATTCATTGGATTGGTTGAACTGAATCATTAATTTCCCCTTTCCTTTTTTTTGTTTGTAGAGGTTGAATTCGTACCTTCACTCGATCAAAAAACCTCCATATATCTTGAACCTCGATCCAGCCGTGAGTAGCTTGCCATTCCAGCCGAATATCGATATCCGGGATACGGTGAATTATAAACAGGTCATGAAACAGTTGAGTTTCTTTCTTGCTTTCAGTTATCACATATATATTGATAAAACATTGATTTTTCGTTTTCTTACATTTTCGTGAATAATTGATAAAAGGTACAACCTTGGTCCGAACGGTGGGATCTTGACTTCGTTGAATCTGTTTACGACCAAGTTTGATCAAGTCTTGAGTTATGTCGAAAAGCGATCATCATCGACCGAGTAAGCCTGGCACAGCGAAATCCTACCCGAAGAATCCTTGATTGATTGACCGATTGATCTCACACATCCAATCAGTTTTGTTCTGATCGATACACCTGGTCAAATCGAAATCTTTACCTGGTCTGCCTCAGGTGCTATCATCACCGATGCGATCGCCTCATCCCTACCAACGGTGGTGGCTTATATCATTGATACCCCCAGGACGACTGCCCCTGCGACGTTTATGAGTAATATGTTATATGCCTGCTCGTTAGTGGTTATTATTTTGTTTTTCTCTCCTCCTTGACTTTGTTAGGATAAAATCTCTTGTTGACTCTACTGCTGCCCCCCCCCATCATGGCACTTTTTGATACGTCAAGAATTCTGTACAAGACCAGGCTTCCGTTCCTTTTGGTGTTTAATAAGACCGACGTCCAAGCTCACGATTTCGCATTAGAGTGGATGGAGGATTTTGAAAGTTTCCAACAGGCTCTTGTTGCTCAAAACCAATCGAATGAGAGTGAGGGTGGGAGTGGTTATATGAGTAGTTTGATGAATAGTATGAGTCTTGTGCTCGATGAGTTTTATAAGAACCTCCGAGTTGAGTCCTCCTCTTTAATCTACAGCTTTCAAAAGGTCCTTTCTCTCAACAATTCTTTTCGTTTCCGGAACCAGGCCGTTGGATGTTCTGCTATGACTGGCTTTGGCATGAAGGAGTTTTTTGAAGCGGTTGATGAAGCAAGACAGGAATATGAAAAGTAAGTCCCTCTCTGTCTACATATCTATCTCATTTGCTGCAAGGTTTGCTGATATTTTAGTTTTTCTTTTCTTGTCTGTAGTGATTATCGACCTGAACTAGTTCGACGACAGGAGGAGAGGGAACGGTTGAAGGAGGAGAAGAAGAATGAAAGTCTGGAGAAGTTGGTTAAAGATCTAAAGCTGTCTTCTGACTCTTCTGCTATGGCGGCTTCCAAAGCTAAGAAAAACACCGAAGCCAAGGATCCTACCGAGCTCCGAGCTGACGAGTTGAGTGAATGGGAAGAAGCAGATGGACGTACTCTTGATAAGCGTTAGTTTTTGTTCTTTATTTAAATCTTTCTGATGATGATGACGATGATGATGGTGGTGGTGGTGGTGGGATGGTCTGCTGAGTTGATGATTCTGTTGGTTTTTTAGAGGATGTTAGTGAGGCTGCCATGCCTGAGCCTACTAAGCGGCTTGATAGTATGGGTCTTGAGTCTGATGGTGGAGGTGGTCAGTGGCCTGCACCACGATGAAGTCCATCTTGACTCTGCTCCTGTTGAAATTGTTGTTGTTGTTTTTTTTTTTTTTTGTTTTTTTTTTTGAAATGCACTCTTTATAATTTTGTGCTTTCAACTGCTTGAAGTTAGCACACCTGAGAGTGAGACTCCCTCTTGACCAATATGGGCACTCCCAACAAACCAAGCAACCAATCCATCTCTTCCTCTGCCTCCTCCTCTTCCCCCTCTCATCCATTCCCTCGTTCTTCTTCTTCTTCCTCCTCCTCTTCCTCTTCTTCTCCTCAACTGGACAACCCAACCAACAGCCTATCATCCTCCTCCTCCTCCTCCTCCTCCTCCTCGTTCCTCCACACCTCCTCCTTCATCTTCTTCGTCCTCCTCAGTCTCGCCATCGCCTGTCTCTGCGTGTATGATATCATCAGACAGACTACCTCTGGCCTCAGATCTTCTACCATCCAACTCACCTCCATCGCACTCGGCTCCTGTCTCTTGGTCGTTCGTCTATCTAACCTTCCTCTTCCTCCCTTGGAACTCATGACTGACCCTCAAAACTACCCAACAACAGCTCGTCGTCTCCTTCTTCACATCCATCTCTCGATACCTCACCGTCAAACATACTCTCACTCTCATCCCCAAACCATACATCCCGATCTCCCAAGTTGACCTACCCAATCCGATCTTCCAAACGATCAACCAAGAGTATGGTCGGATTGCTATCATCACCTACCTGGCCAGTACCCCAGACAACCCACATCAACCACCACCACAGGAAAGAGTCGGACTGGCTGGATGGGGCAAACCGGGGACGATACACCATGGTAAACGGTTTGCTGATCAGATTCTGAAAGACTTCAAAACCCTAGGTACGTATAAAAAGCCCACCATATTCACACCCACTCCTGAACCTTGCCTCTCTCGTTCTCACTCAACAGAGCATGCCCTCGATGGCTTGTTACCCATCCAACCGATACCATCCATCCCGACGCGTCAATCCTCAACGATCGATGGCCCACTCACTCGATATCTCCATATCCTCAACCCATCCTCACCCACCCAACCCACACCCATCCTACTCACACCAGCTCAAAAGCACATCCTCAATCGATACGCACTCCTCATTCAAAAATCATTAGCACCCTCCTCGATCGTCACCGAATCTGATTATCAGGTCGCCTGCAAATGTCTCGTCATCCTGGTCGATCAGATCCAGCTCTCTCGCTCCCCCGATTGGCCTAATCCAGATGGCTATGGTCCCAAGGGACATCCGCTCTATCAGGGTATCAGATTTAAGGATGCGATCATCGAAACAGCAATCAAATTAGGTACATGCTTTCTTTAATCTTCATGAAAGCAATCATCCAAATCGAACCCCTGCTGATTGTATGTATGTAGAACAATCATTGGCGCAGAAGCTGCTGGTTCAATCGGTCAAGCCCAGCAAGACTGCGAGTCTTACGCCTCCCTCGACGATGCAAACGAGTCGGCCAGGAAGTGGTATGCGAACGACGACGATCACAGGGACGATGAACGGGAAGGAGGCGATCGAGAACCTGGTCAAGAAACTCTTCCCGCTCATCTATCCTCCCTTCCTGCCTAGCGCCTTTGGGCCGATCATCACCGGATACGAAAACCTCATCAAGGAGATCGCCTTCCTACATCCGCAACTCGAACGATCTCTCGAGGAGTACGAATACGCTTTGAGGTGTATCGGCTCACTTATCTCACACGTCCAGAAAACTTTGTAGATGTCTATTTGATCTTTTTTTTTCATTCTCACAAAATGGCAATTCAAAAACAAAAGGTCATGGTGCTCTCAGTTGTGGATCGAAACTGTAGATGAGGAAATTTGCAATTAAAAGGAACATTGATATGGTGAAATTGGTGATGATAAGAATGATCATTCTACAATTTTGCATCTTATCATCCAAGAAAACACACATGAGTCGGAGTGACATTTGGCCTGACACATAGAGAGATTAAATTACTGTCGACGCTCTGCCCTCTTTGATTTTTTTTTCCCTTCCACATCAATTCATCACACCAAGGTGTAAAAATTCTTCTCTTTTATTTTTTTTAATTGGAGCAGCTTTGGCCAGAGAATTTGAGATCAATGGATTCCAGATCTATTGGATATTCATCTGGGCAGGGAACCCAAGAGAGAAAAAACAAGCCCCGCACAAATCCAAATGAGCACTGAAGATCTAGCCTTGCACAGAGAGAAGATTTTGTCAGACATGGTATGCAGCCAGGATTGTCCTGATGTTGTATCTAGCCCTCTCTATGAGAAACAGCCTGTACAGAGAAAGTCGGTCAATGGGGTGAAGATTACCAAACCAGCAATGCACCTACTTATTTTTCCAGATCTGCTTTGAACATTATGATTTAGGATAAAAGTTGTAACCGGATAATTTCTTAGAACTTGGATCCCTCCCTGTCTCAAACCTTCCCTGTTACCCAAAACCCATTTGAGAGATAATGAGCATGGTTTTCTCCACGGAAGACCACGATGAAAAATCCCCCGAACCAATATATCCCTTTTAAGACAGCTGGTGTCAATCTCGACACTGAAAACCCCTGAACTTCCCATGGCATCAAGCAATATTGTGGACTGGGCTCTGCTTTGCTCAGATATTTGCTGCAGTAGTGTTGGGGCTCTTATTTCTGGTGATTTATGTCTGAGGAACGTGTGATTGAGTGTTTTTTTTATATAGTGCTGCTGTCTAATTTTTCTTAGTGGCCTACTACATATCATAGTGATGTTTTTTGGGTACACTTACGTTGTGGTGGCAGAATTGATATTGGATCATGGGTTGCTCGGGCTCTGCTACATACACACAAAGGCAAAAAAATGAATAAATACATAAACCAGCTGATCATTTGTGTATTTTGTTGTGTTTGATTTAGGAACACTTAAAAAAGACATGGAGACCTACAAACAAAGTAGATATGGTATCAGGTACATACCTTCTATCTGTTGGCGGACTTGTTGGTGTATGACAGGTACCTGCTGTTGGGTGCCAAGTACTGGTGCAGAGAATTTGGGGGCCTGTCTGTGTAGTGTTAGCATGGACATGGCAGAATTCTGCCACACTATGCTAAATTTTAGCAGAATTCTGCTGTGTTACCCTACACTAACATAACTGGCCCACCATTGGCGTGGGTGTCTAAATTGAGTGGAATTCCAGGCAGGTACCTGGCCAAAAATTGGGGCTGAAACAGCCTTTTTGTAGCTGTTTGTAATTCTTGGTGGGGGCCTGAAACCTTCTGGCGGGTACCTGCCAGCAGATGCGGGTCCAAAACCAGTGGAATTTTACGCAGGTGCAGTGCACCTGCCATGGGTACCCTGGTGCAAAGTGCCATCTGTTATTGAACCTTGGGTTGTTTGTATGTCCATTCTTATCAACCCCTGCGGGTATGAAATGTGCCCCAAATTTTTGCTTTGATTTATGGTCATATAGTGAGCATTTTCTTGATTTGGAAGATTATTGCATTCTTTTATCACTGTCTCTGGTTTCTCACTATAATGCCCCACAGAATTATCTATGATGATAGCCAATTTTTGATACCAAGTTTTTAAACATGTTAGGGGGTATCAAATATTGCCAAATCCACCATTATTCAATTGACTGGTTTCTGAATAATCTCTCATTTTTAAACATGTTGGCACTTCACCTACACCCTATGGGGACTCATTGGTGCAAAATTCCATCTTTCTTATAAAAATTGACTGGTTTCCTATGGTGAATTTCTTGTATTTGATAAACCCTATGGTACCTGCTTTATGTCTTACCAGAATACTTGCCCCTAAATCTGGGATTGAGGATTTTTCATTTTCTATCAGAATCAAATGTCAGAACCTAGATTGGTGACAAACAAAGTGGTGTTCTTGATTGAGCTCTTGGATGCTTGTTTTGCTAAAAAGAATTCTTGTTTGTATATGGCTCAGATGTCACATTTTTCTGGTGACAAGTGTGTTTTTCATGATTTTTAATCTTCATAGCAGGCCATGCGGCTGCTGGTTTGACATAAATGGGATTGTGAGAAATTCCAATCATGAACCCTGCTAATCTATTGATCTGAAATATTTTTTTTCTTCTTGGGAACCCATCTCTTTTTTTGAATAGAAAATGATCAAAAGCACTAGATACTTGTTTCCTAACAATGAAACTATCATGTCAATGAATTAGAAATTTGTGTTTGTCTGGTGAGATTTGCAAAATGAGTTTTTGATAAGAAATACATGATTTGATATAAACAAATTGATAAATCATGGGATCCTAATCTTGGAGCACACAAAACTTGGTATACACAGAATTCACATCCATGAATTGAGAGCACTCAAAATATTTGTATGTACTACCCAAAAATCAAAATAGGGAAAAAAACATGAAAACATCCATAGAAAGTGATCACCCAAAATCTTTGCATATGTAGTTATTATTGTTGAAATGTCACTAGATTGACCTCATAAAACCCAACAGAAGTCCTTGACAATTCAATCTGAAACTCAAAACTAAAAACTGGTCCTCACCAGTCTCAATTCCCCAACCGCTCTTCCTTATCCTTTTCTGGATCTTCTCTATCTTTTTCTTTCTTTCCTCACACAGATCTTCTCCAATCATCTCCAAATCCTCAACAATTCTCAATCTCATCCAATGAACATCTCACAACATCCACAATATCAATCTACACTCTCAAGCTACCCACTTGAATCACAAGTCCTGAACTTCAATTTGGTGAGAAGAATAACCCTCAATTGGATTTCTTTCTTTTCTTTATTTTCTTTCTGATCTTGTTTACTAATTTTTTTCTTTTGGTTCTTATCTTATTTTTGCTCCTGTCCTTAAAAAATTAATAATAGGGGGTATCAAATATAGGAAATCCACCATTAGAAACCAGTCACTTTCCCCAAAAAATATTTTTGCATCAAACGGCTCCAAAAGGGGTTAAATGAATAACCAACATGTTTAAGAAAGGGTGAATTTTTTCAAACCAGTCAATTAAATAATGGTGGACTTGGTTATATTTGATACCCCCTAATAAGTTGTCTGTCTCAATCTTACAAATATATTTGGATACACTTTGTATTTTTTCTCTCTCCTGTGTTTTCTTTTCTCGAATCTTGTTTTATTCTAGTTCTGTTCTTTTGGTTTTTTTAGCAATCTTATACTGTTAATTCATAAATTATTTGAGCAAAGAACAAAAAATTGTGTTACTTTAAGAAATTTTAGCAAACATGCAAGTGAAAAATGTACTTCAGGCACTTTTGAAGTAAAAATGCATCAATATTGAAGATCTATTTTCATTAAACCCAAATGAGGCTGCTGGTAAATTGAATCCTTTGCTTCAATGAGTGTGAGATGGCACCAAAAGTTTAGCAAGATGTCATAGACACTGATTATTGCAATTTTTGATTTTTGAGTGCTTATGTGAACTGTGCTAATAGGGAAACTCATCTAAGTAAATCATCTCACTTGTCTTGAATAGAAAAGCTCGTGCAGTTGCTGATTTGGCTTCTCTTTTCAATCAGGTCTTGCTTGTTAGGAAATATCTAAACTTCTAAACAAACTTAGGATTTTTGGTCAGGGAGAGAGAGACCATGAGGAAAATCTTGAAAGGAAACAAAGAGTTTGAGAGTCTAAAAAAGGGCTTGATAACTGCTAGATTGTGTGGCGGAAAAGTGCTCACACAGAAGGAGGTTGTATATTGCAGAAACCTCAGGGAAAATTTTGCAGATGACTAATGTCTGTATTACGTTTAGATCAAAAAGCTTTGTTTCTATTAAAACTAAGGGATGGATTGTGGGCAGAAAGTGAGAAGCATATTCAATCTGGAGGAAAAATGAATGAGTGACATGAGATGAAATGAGTGACATGAGATGAAATGAGTGACAGATATGACAGATAATGAAAAGATGAGAATGAGATCAGAAGATGGCACAGTTTTAACAAGAGCTTGACTTATATCCTGTATATAGAGAACCTTCAAGTTGATGAAAATGGAAAATACCAATTTTAACAAAGCTTTATTGCTGGTGATGAGAATTAGGGCAATTCACATGGGCCCAGGAAATTTACTGATTTTGATGATGATCATTGCTTATGCAAAATTTGTAGTAATATTTGAGTGTGGGGAAGGTACCAAACCTTAATACTTGACAATAAATCAGCAAAGCCTGATTTTCTTTCAAAGTTTGAATTCAGCAGTATGAACATGAACAGCCCAGATTTTATCCCACAGAATCAACCACCAAACTTCATATCTGTTCAACTATCATGAAGACTTCCTGTCAACATTTTCACACATTTTGTATTTTTTGATGCTACTTGATCTTGATGTTGTGAAGAAGAAGAAACCTTTCAGTGTTGAAGTGCAGTGGGGTGGTTAAGAAGGAGGTGTATGTAGTTTGCTAGAGTGGCATTTCTTGTTTTGATGTGAAAGATTGTGTCAGGGAGTAACCCATTCCTTTATGTAGGCTGCATGGGTATTGACTATGTATCAGGGGGTTTCTGTCAGGCTGGCTGCTGCACTAGGAAACTTGGGATAAAAACCGTCTGATTTTGGATGAGTGATACTTGAGACCTCAGGCTCCAGGTGCTCCAGTGGGTGGCTCCAATTTCTTTATGGTTACAGAGGAGGGATCTGTCCTAACATGTCATGCGCATTAGGACGGTTCACGTCTGAACTTTGAGGCAAATTTAATGACATTTATCATTGAAATTTTACAACTTTATCAGAAACCTCAAATTCCTCTGAACTTGATGTTTCATGAAATTTTACAAAATTCATAAAATTTTATCTTCAAGTGCGTTAAAAGTGGCCTTAAACTCCAGACGTGAACCGGCCTATTATTAGATATTTATATGGACTGTCTGCTCTTTGGTGTTTATGATTACTGCTCAGCAATAAGGGATATGCTTGCTCTCCAGACATTTGAATGAGTTAAGTAGACAGAAAGTGTTTTGTAAGGAATAATTCTGCTCATCAAGCAATACACCTTGATGCTGATTGATGCGCTCATTCCATAACTATCATGATCAGCAGACGGTCGAAAGTGTTGAACTAACACCGGCTGTCCCTACCCATACGTGAAGTACAGCATGAGGAAAATTCGCATCACTTGCAATCTTGCACCATTTTGCATCTTTCTCGAGCCAACCCATCCAATCTCCGGCGCGAAGAAACCTGGAGCCCTGAGCTGGCGGATTGACAGCTCAAATTCTCTGGATGTCTATCTAATTAGCGGCTGTTGGCTATCAAGAAACGTTCTTCTGATAAGTACAACGGCCTGCCCGGTCGAGATAAGAGCTGAATTACCATTGCCAGTCTGCAGAGCCGGGGGCATGATCCATAAAACCGCAACTACTGGCCGCTGGCTTGATGTGGCTGAGCCGGATAATGTTGGTTAGGACTCTCGGATGATAGTCGGATCTTCAAGTGTGTGAGCAGTAGAGTATTCAGCGAGCGGCTGATACCTTTGATAGCTGAAGAAAATCTGAGCCAGACGGTATGTACCCCGCACTCCTTAGTCTCCTCTCAAAACCCTGTATGTATGTACTCTCACATTTTCTCCATCATCCCATCCCCTATCTATTTGGTTCTGCAAAAGAAGGAGAAGACAATCACAGCCCAACAACAGCGCCCAAAACGTGTTGAAGCCCATGTATCCGATCCTCTCGCCCCCCATTTCGTTACCCTAGACCTCGACAATCCAAATCAACCCCCCACCCTCGTTGATGAGGGATCATGATGATCTCTGTGACCGCATATTTGTTTGTCTGATCTGATTCTGAATGATTGCGTAACATACAGCAAGGATGTTAAGATAAATATCTAGATACATGCATACGAGATGTAAACAAAAAAGACCAGCACAGATTGTAAATTGTAGATGGATAGATAGATAGATACCGCACCCCAAATACATAGGCAGTTTTATGGGTGCGATTCAAGTGCATGGAGAAGGTGCCCAAAATTTGCCTGCAGAGGAAAATATGTATGTTTCCTGGATCTTCACACTTTTACAAGCAGTCATCTCTGGGCCTTGAAAAGTTGAAGGCTCGGCAAAAGCCAGCACGATCGGTTTGGCTGTTTGACTAACAAACAACAAGTACGTACACCTCTTATGAGCTTATGATGTTGAAGGATATCTGCGAATATATCAAAAATCATGCTGGTGGTATGTTGATGTATTAAATAAATATGTACAGCCAATCCAGAAAAGGATGGCATTCCCTCCTCAAATGCACTAGCTCGCTTGTGTGCAGATACTACGACTTCATGAGCCAGTAAGGTTTTGGTTTGAGCTAGAAGCTCTTATTCTCCTTCAATCCAGCAGGGCACTTAACCTTACCCAGATCACGAATAGGATGGATCTGCACAAGCGAGCTGGTGCTTTTGAGGAGAAGATGCCATCCTTTTCTGGATTGGCTGTATGCTCCCTCTTTCATACACTCTTTTTGAGATCAATTTCCCAAGTTCGGTTACACAGAATTCTAAGCCCTTCAAGGAATCTTGGATTTGTAATACCTAGCTTGGGGAACAGTTGGGTTGCTCGAAGAAGCTTGATGGTGAATGAGATGAGATCCAGTCGGAGCTAGATAGCCCAGGCTGAGGATTAACCGTGTATGCGTTTGTTTTTAGCCAATAAATGTTGTATCCAGCAGACTGACGAGGTGTTGAAGAGATGGAGTGGACTTCGGTCAAAGGAGAAGGCCTGTAGCTTGAGGAGTCTTGTGGGCCAGGTTAATAGGGTTTCGGAAGTATATGTACCTACATCGAGATCTGCGATAGAGATATTTGCAAGATATAAATTGGGCACATCAGTACACAGTTCTTTTGAGTTCATTCTACCTACAACAACTTGAAGCGGTGTCGATGTCAACGCTTGGGAATCAGAAGCTGTAAAAGAAAGGAGGTCAACCCAGCCGGGGTCCAGTGCATGTATTGCGATTTTCCTTTGAGTTATGGGGGGAACATATGAGAAATTCGTTGAAAGGGAGCATACATACATACATACTCTGGTCTCTATCATAATCATGGATCCAGCTGGTTCGAAGTGATTGCCCGGCTTGAGTGAGTCAAGTGTGATGTTGATGGAAGGAGATGGGTGATTTGAACTTAAGAAGGCGAGTCCAAACTGTAAGGGTCCAGCGCACTACATAGATGTAGAGTGTTAAAGTGAATCTTGAAACTGAGCTGAGATTGAAGATTGTAACCAAAGCTGTATGTACATATGTATGTGCGCTGCATTTCAAAGTTTATTGCCTGTTTTTCTTTTTCTTTTTTTTTCTTTTTTTTTTGGTTTTGTACTACATAATAGATGAAACTGTAGGGCAGAAATCTGTAAAAGTCAATTAAAACCCATCCATATAAAAACCTGTACAGGGTCGATCGATCACTGCTTGGACGATTTCCCTGATCCACCTTTTCCCTCTCCTCCAATCAGGCGCTTCTGATCATCATCAACCCAACTGTTTTTTCTTTTTTTTGGTCTACAGCAAGTCAGCAGCCATCCTACATCTCTCCGTTTGCAAGTGCACTTTATACACCAAGGAGGTGATCGTGAGTCGGTCTGACTGGCCGATAGTTACATACATACACAGATACGCCGGAAGCTCCCCCGGCCCTATATTGAATCTGAGCTACTTTTGCATGTTATAATAAGGAAGTCAATTGTTTTGCTATTATCAGTGTATTTTCGTCGATCAGCTTGGACTCTGTTGTACAGGTTTCTTGTCTTTTGCTGTGTTGAGTGTGTTGTGTTCTGAGTTCTTCTCCGATTCTGTCGAGTCGCCACCGATCATCATCCATCCTCATCATCCTCATCAGCAGCGATCGAAGGAAGCAAGTCCTCTACGGAATACTTGGGTGGGTTACCCTCGATCACATTGATTACCCTCCTTTTATATTTATGTACCTCCTTCCCTCATCAACACTCCATCTTTTATTTATTTATTTATTACTTATATTTCTTGTTTGGTTATCATCAGCTCACCATCTCCAGCTTCTATCTACCCAGTCCGCGTTGGCTTGGCAGTCTAAAACCCTTGCGATTCCTGCGAGCTCCTCGGAGGGGAGCCGACTTGTGTTGTGTTGAGCTCGCATCCGAGCACTTCTGACTATTATCAACTTCTTCCACCTACCGCTCGCCTGCTTCACCCTCCTTCCGCTTCCTCCTCCGCCGCACTCTGCCCGTTCCAATCGATCGGCCACGGCTCATCATCCTACTCTCACTACTTCACCCAACCTTCTGTCCGCTTGACTCTCCCCGCCCTGTCCGTCTGCAGAAGCCCTTCTTTTTCCTTACCACTTCCAACCCAACTTTCTTTCTTTTTCTCTCTCTCCGCCAAGCAAGTCAGCTTACATATCCCTCCTCCACTTCCCCCCCCCTCCCCTCACCAGTCACCACCCCTGTCAGTCAACCCACCCAGTGCGGCATGGTCACGATGGATCAGGCTGATATCACTTCTGATCATCATCATCAGCATCATC